TAAGAAGACATAAAACTTAGGCCTCCTGTCATGGCTAATGAGCCTATAAAAAGCCATGCCTTATTAACTGCGAATATTTTTCCTTAATTGGAGAAAAAAAATATGTCCGCAAAGTAAAATTGAAAGAGACGAAAGAAAAAGATGTTCGCATTGCGGAAAAAAGCGAAAAATAGAAATAGTAAGATAATCATTGTAAGTAACTCGATTGACGAGAAATGAATACAGCATTTTGTAATATTCTAGAAGAAATTAATAATATAAGTCAGAATTTTCTTAAATTAACAGATCGTATTTGCCGTATGTATTTATGTTAAGCATGCTTTATTTCCTTTCCCATTTTGTAATTTATTTGATCTCAATGGAATTCGATAAAAAAACTAATAAGTATGTAGAAAGATAGTATGGTCAGTTAAATTCTCATTGTCAGACATATCCAAATTTTTGGGTCTGGATAAGATACATTCAAGAGTCAGAAGAGTCACATCAATGGTTAATGAAAACGTTTTGATTCAACCAAAGTAAGAATATTTAGATAGTTTTTTGAATTCTAATAGTTATAAAATCAGATTGTGCTCTTTTTTTCATTATTGATATGTGAAGGTATTCGATATAACTGACACAGATGATCTAGATAATCGATGTAAAAAAATCTTAGATACTCTCATATGCTTCATTAATGATTTTTTTCTGTATTTTATCGCATAGTAAATCTTGTACTAATTCTACTAGGTAGCCGTTTTTTCTTAATTGTTCAAAAAAAGGGTTTTCATATAGATGCAGGCTTCAATGCATTTGAACAGCATACAATCGTTTTGAAAAATAGTAAATCTTTTTTCGTATGGAAAATCAGAAGATAAATGTCTATGATGAATATTGATTCTTAGGGATATCTCTTGAATAACATGATACATACATGTATATGTAGCTATATAAATAAAACCTAGATCTTAGTATTTGCTCTGCACAATCTTTATGTTCTTTTGACTTAATTTTAGAATTCAATTTCGCCCATAAAAGTAAGCAGTTATGTGAACAGGTCTATATAACTTTATAATACAGATAATGTCTATGTCAGAACAAAAAGCTTTTTATTTATATATTTATATTCTAAACAAAACTAGTCTTAAGAAATTCTCGCGATATTACTAGACAGTTTAACATATAAGACATCTTCACAATGAAAAGATGAATTAGGAAATAATATTGTCTTAGTCGAGAAAAGTTGATTTGCTATAAAACACTCACATCGAAATCTTTTCTAATCTTCTGAAAGATTATTTTTAGCTATTCTTATTCATTCTTTTTATAAACAACAATTCTATGATTATGTCTGTATAGACAAAGTTTTTTCTATTCATAGTTTATCTTTCAATTAGTTTCGTATTATGCTAAAAATACTTTTATGTAGGTCGCTCCTTTAGTCACATTGCATATCTTCCGAATAATTCAATGTCAAAATTATTTAAATATTGGTAATTACTACCTTGATTGAATTACAAAATACAAAAGTTTCACTGATTCATATAACATTGTAAATCAATTATTCTTGCGGCATCATATTGCCATATGTTGTATTAAATATTTGATGGTTTATTTCAATCTTATTTATATGAAAAATATTCATTACAAAGAATGTCACAGGACGTGTATTTTGTAGGGCACACAAGCCACCTTATTCATCGTGATTCAATCAAATATCTGATCTAGTAGTAATGAAACTCACCGTGATTCGCCATTATTATCAATACTAATCAGAAGAGTAGATGCCATACCAGCAACTAGTGCTTCTATATAAGAATTATATAGCTCAGTTGAATCATTATTTATCAATGATGAACATGCTTATCAGCAAGTCAAATTCATATAATATTATTTACTCATTCTTACGAGACATTCAAGAAAACATCATAAAAATAAAACTTGTTCCTTCTCATTGTCTATCTGTTTACATTGATTTTATTTTGTATTCTTCATCTTTATGCTTGTTTTATTGTTCATTTCATTTCAGCTGGAAAACATGTGATAAGGTTTTTATTTACATAATTATCTTTTAAATGATTTTTGCGCAGTTAGTCCATCCATTGTATCTTATATACAGATAAGTTTTATCTTTGTCAAAAATACAATGAAAAGATCGTTTTGCAGGCGAGTTGTCCTACATAACAGAATGACGGAGTAATAATGCCCTGCATTTTGCAGGATGCGATGAAGAAAGTCGCCGTGAAACATTCTCTGATTCATGATGACTTCTCTCTTTGTTTTAATATGAAATTGTGTGCAAGAATTCGTTTTTTTTTTATTATTTCCATGGAAATAACTTAAGTAAATAATTGGAACAAGAATGATACATTAATGTACTATTATGAATTTTCGATGATTTGAAAAAGTATAAATATCTATTGACCTGCATTAATCCAGACCTAGATCAAATGGGGAAAAAGTGATTTGTTGACAGTTCGTTGGTAAAGTGACGTTTTTATTATTGAAAAAAAAAAGAATGCATATATTTCTCCGACGTCAAACAGTTAACTAAGTTAAAATTATTTTTATTTTGTAAGTTTCGATGACACGTATTATGTGAAAAAGTACAACCAAAGTTCAAAAGAAAATGATAAAAAGAATATTGTTTTCAACTCTCATGATTAATCTAAAAAATATATATAGTAAAAGTTCACATGAAGTTTTTTTCCTGCATGCCTGATTTACTTATGTTTTTCATCAATGTATGAATATATTTTGATTGATTATCAAGCGAAATAAAATTCTGTTTTTTTTTTTTCATCATAAACCCTGAAGACAAATTTCTTAATATTTCATTCTCTTCGATGAATATAAATTGTTTTCATTTATCAAAATCAAACTTTGAAATACTTTAGAAGAGTTGAGAATTATTCACAACTTCATCATTCGTTTTGAAACTGGCGACCTCATCTAAGAAGTAATAGTAATGGTTAAACCATATGTCGTTTCGTGATTTATTTTCTTTTCTCATTACATAATTGTTTTCAAGTTATAGATTAATAAGTATACAATCATTTCAAACTTTCACAATAGTTGCCTTCAAAAAAAAACTTCAAGTCATTTTAGTATTAAATTAAGAAATTACGAAAACTCATGCTTTGATTACAAAAAAAAAAAAATTAAAATTTTAAACTCGATTTGCATTTATAAAATCAAGTTTCGAAGAACTGATTTATTTTTTGCAATAAATTTCAAACGAAATGTCTGCTTCACCGTACAATGAATTTATTCCTCATGAGTAAACTTAAATTAACAAAAAAGAAAAAAGAAAAAGAAAAATAATTTTATTTTTTCTTTGGAAAACTATTCTTTTAGAGTTCAACAGAATATTTCAACACCAAGTGTTAAACGGAGATTTATCAGTAATTATACATTAAAAACTGGCGATCATACGATAAATGTTTTACAATGGAATATTCTAGCTCAAGGTATTTTATTTTATAATATAAAGAAAAATAATAATACAATGATTATTTTATTTTCATTTCTTTTCTAAAGCCTTATCATATTCTGAAGGTAATTTTGTTCGTGTTAAGAATGAAATTGTTGCATATGAAACTCGTAAATGGCGAATACTTGAACAAATACTTATTCATCAACCAGATTTATGTTCATTACAAGAAATGGATATATATGATTGTTTTCTTAAAGAACAATTACATAAATATGGGTAAATAAGAAAAGAAAGAGAGTGTGATTTTATGTTGATTTTGTTTTTTTGTTTTTAAGATATAACTGTTTTTTTACTCCCAAACCAAATTCAAGATGCCTTTCATTCGAAGATGATCTAGAAAATTTTAAAGGTCCAGATGGTGTTCTACTTTGTTATAAAAATAACGTATTTAAGGAAATTAATAGAAGTAATTCTGATTTACCAAATGATGGTGGATTTGGAGGACAAGTATAAATTCTACTGCATTTCGTTCCTTTTTATAGCAATAATTTATTTATTTACATTTAGGTATTTTCAATACTGGAATTAGAATATTTGTCAACATCATCGCAATTATTATTTATTGGTACACATTTTAAAGCTAAAAAACAATTTGCTTTCTCTCGTATAAATCAAGCAAATGCATTAGTCGATTTTTTAAATAAAAAATATACAAAAAAGACAAATATTATTTTAGCTGGAGACTTTAATGGTGAAATTGATGAACCGTTTTATGAGATAGTATCAAAAGCTGGTTTTAATAGTGCATATCGAGTTTTAATGAATAATCATGAACCACCATATACAACTTGGAAATTTAAACCACGAGAAGAAACAAATGAAAAAGAAGAAAGTCAAACAATTGATTATATTTTTTATCGATCAGAGAATTTAATTCCTATTGCTTATTTAGAATTGCCAACTAAAACTGATATTGGCCCAGATGGTCTTCCATCAGCCAATTATCCCTCTGATCATTTAGCTCTTCAATCAATATTTCTCATTCGAGCATAGTATTTTCATGCTATAGTTCGTTTATATATATATATTGTTCACATGTATTCTCACATTGTCATGAAAATGAAACAATGCTTTTCTTTCGATATACACTTGGTGGCAACAAATGACAACAAATAGGAGAAAAAGAAAACGAAAAACTCAAATACAAATTACAACAAAAGCAAAAAGAAAAATAATAAGTTTTTTTTTTTAAATAATTCTTTTTTTCAATTTTTTTGTATTATTTTAATTTTCATCACAGTAAAACAGAAACAGAAAAAAAAGAAAACAAAAAACATACATGTCGAACTCGAATAATATATTCGCATAGAAACGATCTACATTCAAGAAAACGAAACAAATGCACAAGAACAACAATACATGAGAAACAGAAGAGAAAAAGAAAATGAACGATAGATTAACATCACCGGTCACGTGAAATAGAGTTTTACGAGATCTATCCTCGATTTTATTTCTATTCTTCGCTGATACAAACAAATATATATCGAAGAAACCATAGAAAACCATGATTTTTCAATCTCTCATTTCATTCTAAAGTTTGAAAATTGATTTTATTTTTATTTAGAAAAAATGTCTTACGCATCATGTTCATATTTTTTGGACATGTATCATAATCAATTATATTAATATAACGATTTTTTTCACATTGTCCACGTAATAAAGCACAATAATTTTTATATAAATATCCATCATCACCACATGCCGGGATGTTCATACTACATTCACCACTATGAGTAAAAAATCGTCGAGAATATTGACAACGAATGCAAACCGGACGCGATTGACGAGAATATACACAACGTTCATATGGTTGACATAAATTTGCTCGACATTTATTTTCTATTTATTTTTTTAAAAAATCATCATATAAAAACTCACAAAATGAATCTTTTAAATTCTTACCACAAGGGCCTTTATGTGCTAGTTCGGGTGTTCGACCCTGAACATCTGGACTAAGACGCATAGCACATATATTTCTATATGTAATACCATTTGTACCACAAACTGGTCCAGGGTCTAATACTGGATTACAATATTTTTTTGGATAACAAAAGGGTTCACCAGTATTTTTAACTAATAAACAAACTGTATCATATGGACATTTGACATTTCGACAATCTTCTATTTAAGTCAAAAAATTGAAAAAATATTTTTCTTTAATTCATTCAATTTTGTTTTCTTACTTTGACATTCTCCGTCATATTTTTTATATAAACTAGATTGTTGTTTAAGACATTTCCATGCTGCCATTGCACATTCTGAACTAAATGTCATATTATTTGATGCACATAATGGTTGCTGATTATATTTCGATGATAATGAATCACTTGAAGCACATGATTCTTCACTACATATACACATTTCTTCTCCGTTTATCCATTGACATTCTTGACCAAGACCACAGTCCACATCACACCGTTTTGGTGCAACTATTATATAATTATATGTAATATTAATTGTATTAGACATTCTTTCATTACTTACTATTTACATCACGACAGTTTTCTGCATATTCATATCCATCAAGTTCTTTAAGAATATCATCTGAATAATATAGACCAGAACATTGTTCTTCACTTACATTTACTTCACTAATATCATAGCACATATCATTAATACGATGATTAAAACAATTGCCAGCTAAACAATAAAAAAAAAACATTTTATAATTACTTCCATTTTGACCGTTAAAACATGAGTCAACGATTTGTTGACCTGTATAATGCATATATATATATGTATGTCAACGTTCTGGAAACAGGAAGAAAGGAATATAGGTGCCCTGTTCTTTTTATTCATTCACACATCTATTGTTCCTTTTTTCCAATCAGTAATATATCGGTTTAATGTCTCCTACTTGATCTTACTTTCCTTCACGATGCGCGCACTGTGCCCTTGACCCACTACTATATATCTTCATCCACTCATTGTACATTTTGTGACACATATACATATGTACATACATGTCACTCAACGGTCTTGAATATCATCAATGTACAAGGGTCTGCTCCATGACAATGCGGATGAACGACGAAAAGAAGGATAAATAAATGAAGATATGAATCATGTCAAATAGATATGATACTCAAAATGAAATTTTATAGAATACACAAAAGAAAAAAAAAAGCAATTCTATTTTGTCTATTAAAAATTTGAACAAAAACAAAAAATATTATACAACGATAATAATATCACATACCTTGTGTAACGATAATATATTGATCAAAGAGAATAAGAAACGTAAAAACTGTAATGCAGACGTCGAATAATGATTGGGAGGCCATTATAGATAAACGAAATAATATAGATATTATTGAATAGAAACTGTTTTCAATGTCTTAAATGTATAAAGATAATACAGATTTGCTGTTTCGAAAAAAATGATCTATTTGTCAAATTGAGAGATAGTATAAAAACTGATGAAGCTTTAAGCTTTATATTAAAAACGAAATGAGAGACAGGCGATGAAAATGAGAGAGAGAGAAAAAGAAAGAGAAAGAGAAAGAGAAGAAGAGAGAGAGAGGGAAAGAGGGAGAAAGAGGATAGAGAGAGAGAGAGAGAGACTGAGACAGGAAAAGGAACAATGTGACATCGGAAGCTGAAGACAAGAATATAACATGATTATGCCTAAAAAAAGATAAAAATATGTCTTTATAGGACAAAGACGTAATGCAAAGTTCACTTGTTAAATCCTATTGACGAAAGACCCAACATGAAATTTAAAATTTTTCTCTCATTATTAGTGGTTATTCTGAACTAAACATCTTACTTTAATATTCCTTCTACATAGAATAATATTGCAACAATTAATAAAAGATTATGTGTCAAATATAGAAACTAGACGCTTTTCCGCCTTCGATTTGAAAAGATGCACTTGCAAAACTTTTATTGATCAATGAGATCTAAATTGATCTTGTTTATTTTTTGTGTGGGTGAATACGGACACATTTCAATAGAAAATATTTCCGTTTCAACGGAATGATAACATGATTAAACTACGTCGATCGTTTTTGTTTGTCTCGTAAACTGTTCCGTTCAATAATATAAAGACGACGTCGGTTTCATTTGATCAAATGAGGTTTTTTTCTTGCGTATATGATAAAGTATGAATGCGAATAAAAGGTGTGTAACAACAACCAGCTGTCCGGTTGCAAAATCATGTTTTTCGATCATATGTTCATATGCATTGTATGCGCTTCAAATATTGCTCGCCTTTTCAACGACATTATGCAATATTAATGAAAAGAATAAGCGTCGCCGTAAGGCAACAACGGCGATAGTGGTGATGAGAGAATGAATCGTTGTGTCTAACTTTTTAAACAAAAACGATGACGTCAGGAAGGTAAAATACTTCCGGTTTGTAAATCATATTGTATCTCGTCTATTTTATCCACTTTAGTGCTAACAAAGATCATACTATCTACAAACAAAAATGTGATAAAGGTGAGAAAAAGAAACGTCAAGACCAAAATAAGAAATCATAGATCGAAGATTGTTTTTCTTTTCTAATTTAGAACTAAAATAGATTAGTTTGAATTCATATTGTCTTAATTCGACTTTTCTACATAGAACTATTTTTTAAACAACAACAACAACAGACATGCTTTTTTGTTAAAACCTGGCATTACTCGTTTTGTCATTTCATCAACACTTTTACGGTGATTATTTGTCTTTATGTCTTTGACGTAGACGTCCTTCGTTGGTGCACGATAAATATAGAAACAATAAACAAACAAAACCGAGTTCATTCAGCAAGCAAAAAATATTTTGACAAATGAAAGACATATGGAACAAAAAGACAATTTTCTATTTATTCAATGCTATTGAATGTTTCTTTTCTTTTTTTACGGACTAGCTTAGCAACTGTTTTTTTAAATTAAAGAACTTTTTTTTTAAGCACTTGCCAATTTTTAAAATAAAATCAACATTTCTTTCATTCTTATTATGAGTATCTGTGTGTAACATGTGTTGATGTCGAATGCACAAAAAAATGAAATGCAAAACAGAAGTACATCGGAGTTCTTGTTAAAATGGATGACTGTTGTCATCGACACAAACTTATTTTGTGTTCTTATATGGCTTGTTAAATTTTTTATTTTTACTTTTCTTTCTTCATTTTTTTTTCTTTCTTCACTTTCTCTTATGAAATTGTTCAAATATGAACAAAATATATGATGGTATTCATGTGTAACACAAAGAAATTATACTGACAGGAATTATTAATAATTTCGTTTAGACTATTGAACATAATTAATTCATCAAAATGACAGTATCTCAAGTTCTCTTCTTCTTTTACGTTAAACTATTGCCAAAAATAAAAACTGAGAAATTTTCCATGTTATATTTTTCTTTTTATTAATTTGAATACTATCTCATAATTTCATGCTACTGTTTATTATGGATGATGCAATAATCTCTTGCCATGGAATTCGAGCCATTTATACGACCTCGAAATTACAAAATGTAAAGGATGATTGATGTGAACGCATAGTAAGTGATGAGGATTAGAGTTCAAGGTAGAATGATCGAAAGCATGAACAAAAAAAATGACAAGAAAAATCGATTTGCATCTCAAGGTTCAACTATTGTGTCCATCTATATAAAATAGTATTTCGAATATATATATATATAGATATATACTTTGTCAAAGACCTTTGTATAAAATATATGTTTCTGACACGGTTGCAAGACAATCAAATAATATACTTGACTATAAATTTTCATCATAAAGTTATATTTACAGATGTGATAATTCGTTAATAAAATCTTATCAAGAATAATAAAGAATGATGTCAGCAATAGTAGTTATATAGTACTAGAAGGGACCTTTTCGTACGATATAAAAAAGTATATTCATTCATTTGTAGAACATCAAACAACTAATTTAGTTACATAAAATTCACCACAACGATCTTATTTTCAATCATTAGAGATATCTTCAGTACAATTAATGTATGTTGCCCACATTATTGAACTGCATCTAATTAAGGTACAAAAGAAGACAGATCAAGTTAAAGAATATCAGATTCCTAGCTCTTAAATGGAATTCGATGAACTTACATATAACAAACAACTTTTGCTTTTTAGACACGTCACCTCTATTAATTATCTTCGTTGTCATTACTGTAATACATAAGATGTCTCATTACTATTATTCCCATTTATCAGTAACTTTATCCTAAAGGTTTTCATTATTTTGATATGACGTCAAAAAGATTCCAAGTACATATATACATGCGTCATCATCCTTTTGAACAAAAGTATTTTGTCTCGTATAGTTGACAAACACGTCATTATGTTATACGCAAATTTATTAAAAAATCCTGAAATAGAACTTCTTTATCATTTATTTATTTCGGTTTTCTAAATTGTTCAGTAAGTTGGAAACGTGAGTGTAAATCAAATAAAAACAGAGAGTTAAAAAAACAAATTAATGTGATTTTTACAACATGAATAATTCATCAAATAATAATGAGTCTTGAAGAACGTACATTAAAGCGAATGCTGAAAAATAAGATGCTGTTTATAAAATAAATAATCATTTTGTTTGGCCATGTCAAAATTATATGTAACGACTAAGTTGCATAACTAATTTTTTTGTTTGTATGAGTACATTGTTAGGCATCTGGCAACAGTCATGATTTTGAATCTTCAATAATATACTGTCGACGACATAGTCATAAAAAGTCAAGAAAACGTTACTAGGACATTTCTAAGTCATATCTTTTTTAATTGTTATATAGAAGCAACATATGTGTCTTAAATAGAAATGTCAGCAACACCAAGTTATACTATATGATCTAATATATTTTATACTGTTTTTTGGAGATTATATAAATTTTTAATTACTTCTTCTTATTATTATAGCTGCTTATTCGACATTCTTATACATTTTCATATATAGTTGAAGACTTAAAAATTCAACATGATCTTCTTACAACAATAAATATATTTTTAGATTCTGAAATTTATAAATCATCGAATAATACAGAGTTTTGAGTGAGTCTGAAGTAACTTCGAAAAGAAATTTCTTACTAATCACACAAGATTTAGTAATTTTTTTTCAACCAAGTGGGCTTAACAAGACACCACTTTTGTGACATCTACAAAAGAATATATGATGACAATTTTACGGCTGTCTTATCAACTTAAGTAGACGCCTACTTCATAATTTTGAGCCGATTTCATTGAAGAAAACTTGATGAAGACATTAAGGTACAATCTAAGTCCGACTAAGTTCCAAGACCTGATTTCATGCATTGTATATTTCTAATACTTTTATAATGACTCTCTTTTTTCATGTTGCTTCAAAATCATAGCCTCGAGTTCCAGGCTTTGAGAAACAATTGCACACATGGTGTTTGTAGAAAGTCGTGATTTATGAAGAATAGAACATCTGCATAGTACTAAAGCAACAAACATTCTAACAAAATAAATAATAAATTTCTGTCAACCTCAAAAAGTCATTACATATTAAATATTTTCTTTACAATTCAATCAGGTTTACCATCTGAACTGATAAATATAGATTAAAAGCAAAAAAAATAGAACTATTTTAAATATATGACCTTATTGAATTGTTTTTGACATTATTTTTCGAATAAATATTGATTTTCATTATAATTGTTATCGACTGACTGATTATTCTGTTGAATCCTGTAA